AATGAATAAGGAAACAAGATCCATTTATATGCTGCCTACAAGAGACACATATAGACCTTAAGACATACATAGACTGAAAGTAAAGTGACATAAAAAGATATTTCATGCAAATAATAGGGAAAAGTAAGCAGGAGTAGAAGTACTTGTGCCGGACAAAATAGACTTCAAAACAAAGACAGTAACAACAGACAAAGAAGAACATTATATAATGATAAAGGGGTCAGTCCAACAAGAGAATATAACAGTTATAAATATCTATGCATCCAACATAGGAGCACATAAATAAGAAAAACAAATACTAACAGAACTAAAGGGAGAAACAGACTGCAAAAGTAAACATGTTAGGGGACTTTAAACACCACTTACATCAATGGACAGATCAATCATACAGAAAGTAAATAAGGAAACAGAGACATTGAACAACACACTAAATCAGATGGACTTAGCAGAGTTACACAGAACATTCTACCCAAAAGTAGCAGGATGCACATTTTTCTCAAGTACACATGGAATTTTCTCCAGAATAGATCACTTAGTAGGACACAAATAGAGCCTCAATCAATTCAGAAAGATTAAAATTGTATCAAGCAACTTCTCAGACCACAATGTATGAAACTAGAAATAAATTGCACAAAGAAAACAAAACAACCCCCCCCACAAACACATGGAGTCTAAACAACATGCTTCTAAATAATCAATGGATCAATGAACAAATCACAGAAGAAATCAAGCAATACATGGAGACAAATGAAAACAAAAATATAACAGTCCACAATATGCGTGATGACACAAAAGCAGTCTAAGAAGGAAGTGCATAGCAATGACAGACCTACCTCAAGAAACAAGAACAATCCCAAATAAAAGTCTAAAGTCACAAATAAAGAAACTGAAAAAAGGAGAATGAATTAAACAAAAGTTGGTAGAGGGGATATAATAAAGATCAGAGCAGGTATAAATAAATAGAGAATGATAAAACAGAAAAAATCAGTGAAATCAAGAGCTGATTCTTTGAGAAGATAAATAAAATAGACAAATCCCTAGTCATACTTACCAAGAAAAAAGAGAAGACACAAATAAATAAAATCAGAAATGAAAAAGGAATAGTTATAACTTGCACCACAGAAATACAAAGAGTTATTAGAGAGTTCTATGAAAAATTAGATGCCAATAAATTGTACAACCTAGAAGAAATGGACAGACTCATAGAAAAGTACAACCTTCCAAGACTGACCCAGGAAAAACAGAAAATCTGAAGAGACCAATTACCAGTAATGAAATTGAATTGGTAACCAAAGAACTTCCAACAAACAAAAATCGCAGACCCAGATGGCTTCACAGCTGAATTCTACAAAACATTTAAAGAAGTGCTAATACCACCCTTCTAAAAGTTTTCCAAAAAGTAGATGAGGGAATACTTCCAAACTCATTCTATGAGGCCAGCATCACTGTAATTCCAAAACCAGACAAAGATACTATAAAAGAAGAAAATTATAGACCAATATCCCTGATGAACATAGATGAAAAAATCCTCAACAAAATTTTAGCAAG